GTCTTCCAAGAAAACTATTCTGTTTTAATTCTTTGTTTTTAAGTTTCCTTCTTGCTACATTAAAGCTTTTGGGCAAGCATCTACCTGTGTCTGTTGTGTAGCTACATATAAATTCAATAGTCATAACATGCATTAATATGGGGTACTTATTGAGTGGGTAATATTTACCTGCACTTACTGTTTTTATTGTCTAGCTCAGTTACATTTTGTTTTTCTGCCAACAGTAATGCTGATTTGGAAATCATATGTCTTTGTGAGTCTTTCTGTAACAGTTAAACTTGGTATGATAAAAAAAGAAATGTGGTACTTAAGTTGCAATACATTTGCAAGAAACAATTTTGAAAATAGTTATAACAAAATCTGTATTTTCATGTAGTTACTGTCACGGCTAGTGAGGTGAGCTGTGTGGAGGAAATATTTTTGCTTGTGTTTTGTGCACACAGATGGTACTCAAATTATTTGCTGTGGACATAATTGTTATCCACATATGGCTGAGATATTTCATCGGCACTCCTCCATACTGCACTGGAACTCTGCTGGAGGTGAGTAAAAGTCAAAGGTGTAATAAAGGATGTGAGTGATCTGCTACTCTCCTCCAGAAAACCCTAATGATACATCCAACACTGAGAAGCAGTGCACTCCCATGCAGTCGCACACAGACTGTGGTTGATGAGTATGGGGACCATGATTTCTGAATTCATCCTCTTCTTCAGCAGGTCCTCCAAATACTTCTTTAGCTTCTTGTGGAGTGGCTTGGGTAATGAAATGTATGTGCACTTTACTAGGGTTGTGTCACTCCACGTAAACTTTCCTCCGCCTCAACTTTCTGTGATTTTAGTGTAGCTTTATTGTTTGACTGAGTTTGTTTCTTTGTATTGTTATGACCCCACGTAGAGGTCTAGGGGGGTGTGTGGGGACTGGTAACAAATGGGTCAGGAACTGAATGAAAGGAAACCATACAAACTGTTCAGTATATATTACAGCTTTATTACAAATAATCTTTACTGAAAGAGCCGGCAACACCACCAATGTTTTTTCCAATAACACTAGAAAAAGAAAAATGTCGCAACAACCAAACAAAAAACTCCACACTACGAAGAGGCACTTCTGGGG